GTCGTTTTGGTGGCGACTGGGTGTTGGAGATAGGAAGAATGAAGGAGAAGAGTGAGGAATAAGAGGTTAGCGCCCATTTTCAGACCATGAATGTTGCCATTATTAGCATACCTATATATATACACACACACACACACACACACACACATATACATACATGAAAAAATTTATACAAAAATAAAATGGCCCCAGTCGAGGAGGGAGAAAAATAAAGACCCATGACGCCCCTCCTCTTTTTTAAATGAAATTTATTTTAATATTGGCCAAATATTATATATATATATATATATCCAGCTTCGACATATGTATATATATATATATATATATATATGTCTTTAGGTTGGTTTTGAATTTTCAGAGACAGAAAAGAAGCCTCTCTGCCCATCTTCTTGCAGCAAAAGATAGAATACCAACAAATCTTAACTTTTGCATATGCTAGCTGCTCATATATATATATATATATATATACATACATACATACACACACACACATACCATATATAATATACCTTCATACTATTAATTTTTGGGTTTGATTTATTACTATTAGTATCATAATTACTGGCTTTCGGATTATTATGTTTTAAATTTTTATTTTAATGTATTTAGTCTTTTAAAAAATTTAAAAAATTGTATTTTGAAAATATAAATATTTTCAAATTTTTGTTATATTTATATAAAATGATAAAAATCGAATCAGAAAATTAGTATCAGAAAAAAAAAAAATTTAAAAAACTATTTATTTTGTTAATTAACTTATGTATATATATATATATATATCAATTATAATATAATTTTTTAATAATTAATAAAAACAACTCAAATCGAAATTATATTCTCATACGAAATATATATAATAATCGTAAATAATAAAATATAATTTTATTAATTATTTTTAATACAAATTTATATATTTTCTTAATTAATTAACTATATATAGGTACACACACACAGATATATATATTTTATCAACCACTACTTTTATATTATAAACTACCAAATCATCTACCACTCATTATTGTCAACTACCCACTTTTATATTATAAACTACCACATTTAACTATGTAATGAAGGGTACTTATATGGGTCATGCACATATAGATACACACACATAAATTGGTCCATTTATTTGTACCCTCTAGTATTTTATTATTTTATAATATAACAATTCCTCAAAAGTATATACTCACACATTTGGCATTTCAAATATTTGTGTATTGATTTTTATAGTACAAACAATAAATGTGACATACATTGTCACATGCAATGGGGCTAATTGGCTTAGACAATGTAATAAGTACTTATATGTAATTTTAATAGGCGAAATTTATTTAATGAAATAAAAAATTAAATTATATATAAAAAAATCAAATATCGAAACCCGACGAATAAGATGGCAAAAAAAAAAATGATCGAATCATCAAACCCACATAAAATTTGAAATTTTTTTATTTCGTCACGTTATTATTTTATATATCATAATTTTAATATATTATTAATTATATATCTAATTGTAAATACTCTAATAAAAATATAAAATAAAATTTCACGTGAACCATTTATTATATGAGAGAATTTTTTTGCTTATAAGTGACAACTTTAGTATTATAATATATGAAATATATAAAAAAAAATTAGTAAAATTGTGGTAATTAAATTAAATTAAATATTAATGAGCTTATTTAAAAATTTATAGTTATTAAATTCACTTAGTAAGTATAATCGATTTTTTAATCCGACATAATATTTTAATTTATTAAAAAAAAAGTTGAATTGAATTGAAGTTGGCCCAGTTAAGTGAATTCGTAGAAAGCCCAGTTGATAATTAAAGCCCATATTGGTGGTAAGATTTTCTCAGCTGGTTTCTTGTACGTATAATTTTCTCGGGATCCAATCAGAAACATCGCAATGCCAATAAAAATAAATAATTACAATAGAAAAATCCAAGAACAAGGGACCGACTTGCTTCATGTGGTGGTCAAAGAATTGGATTGGAGTTAATAAAAAGTTAATTTATTTAATTTTGTAATTAATTACTTTAAACATAATTTGTTTATCTAAATGAGATTAACCACCGTAAATTATGTAATATTTAATATTTAATATTTATTTAAATAATTTAAAAAAGGTTAATTTATTATCTTAAAAATGTGAGATGGTACAATACACTTACATTTATTAAAATTCCCCTGACACCACCATCTTCCATCAACATACACAATCACGTAGATACATACATACATACATACATATATATATATATATACCGATTTTTAAGAATCAAGAAGACAGAACCCAAATCACGACCGACCTGGTGCAAGAGTACGGTAAATCATCGGCGACGGAGCCGGACTATCTCCCCTCTTCTCCGACGTCTCCAATGGAGTCACGTACCCATCTTTCCTGCAAGGAATCCACTTCATCGATTCCGGATTCTCGCAAAGCTGACGTTTCGAGAAGAACACAGCACACTCATATGGCGATTTCTGATCAGGAATACCCAAAATGCAGTTCTTCCTTACGTCAAGAACCTTCTTGTTAATCAACTTCCGACACTCCGGTCCAACTTGGGTGAAAAAATTCTCAGAGAGCGACAAGTTTCTCAGATTCGGCAACTTGCAGACAATCTCCGGCACCGCCCCGTATAGCATGTTTCCGGCGAAGTTGAGGATCTCCATCTTCTGTAAGCACCCAAAAGAAAGCGGAATCGGGCCGGTCAAGAAATTCCGGCCGGCGTCGAACACGGTGGAGTTGACCAAAAACCCGATCTCGTACGGTAAACATCCGGAAAGCTGGTTGTTCAAGAAGAGAATCTCGAGTAAAAATGGAGCTTTTCCGATGCTTCTCGGGATCGGACCGGTGAAGTTATTGTTAGCGAAAGTGAAGTACAGGGCTCTGGAGGAGCCGAGGTTTTCCGGGAGGGTTTGAATAAATTTATTGTTGTTGATGAAGAAGACGTCGAGGTCTATGTTGAAGATTTCCGGTGGAACGCAGCCGGAGAATGAGTTGAACCGGAGGTCCAAGAATGTCAAAAGGCGGGAATTGAGAAGCTCGGCCGGAAACTCGCCGGACAACTTGTTGTTACTCAGATCGAGTTCGTAGAAGTACTTGAGCTTGCTGGTGGATTTCGGGATTGTGCCGGTGAAGTTGTTGGAGTTGGCGTGGAAGATTGCAAGTTCCGGGAGCTTCTCGATGAAACCGTTGAGGGAAAAATCATGGCCGCCCGCGAGTCGTCGGCGATTAAAGTCGATTGAAGCAAGAGCTCTCTTCTTCGTCCCGGGAAGAAAGTCGCATTTCAAGCCATTGTAGCTGCAAATATCTTTACCATGCCAGTTCTGCGTCAACCCTGTTGGGTCATCTACGATTCTTCTCCGAAATCTTTCGATTACAGGGCTGACTCTTTGAAGCAACTCGTTTTCAAACCCTCCGAACGGCGGCACCTGAGTCGGGGGCCGAGGCGGAGGATAATGAACCGTCGCCGGCCGATGAGGTTTTGGTGGTGGTGGCGGCGGAGGGCATTCCGGTTCCGGGGGAGGTGGTGGTGGAGGGCATTCTGGTTCCGGGGGAGGTGCCGGCGGCGGACAGTCCGGATTTTCCGGCGAGGGAGCGGGAGGACCGCCGCCGCCGATTATTATTTCGAGAGTTTCTCTGCTGGGGTTTTGATTTTCCGGGTTGGAGAAGCCACGGTGGATGAATGCATGGAGGAGGAAAGTGAAGAAGATAAGGTGGAAAGAAGAGAAATGAGGATTACCCATTCGTTCAATATCTCTGTGCGTTGGGGTTTCTCTGTTTGGATGGAAGGAAAAGAATGGGGAGGAAAGGAAAAGGAGAAGACTTGTGGAAGCAAGGAAAGAGGAAAGAAGAAAATTTCTCTGCGGGTCAATGGAAGGACATTCACGAGGATACATACAGACAATATGTATAATTTAACTACTGTCTTATAGTCATGGCTGGTCTCCTCTCACTTTCATCCTCACTGTTATATTACACACTGATTATATATATATATATGTGTGTGTGTGCGTGTGTGTATATATTAGTTGTTTTAATTGGAAAATAACAAGGTAACTTAATTTTAAGCCTCTCAATTGCCAACTTTATCAAGAAGCTTTTTTCTTCACAATATGATGCAATAATACATCAAATAATTGGTCCTATTATATAGTTCAGAATCTCAGGGACCATTTCAACCAAGCTACCTATATTTGATATAGTATTATATATATATATAAAATATATGTGGGTGCAAATTTATATACGTACATACATACACACACACAGAATATTCAAATTCTTTCCTTTGTACAGTCTATATGTGATTTATATATGGTTATTAAATGTATAGTTAAGCAGAAAAATAATATATATATAACTAATTATGATATTTAAAGAGTTAAAATTTGAAAATAATCAGACATTAGCGTGACAAATAGGGGAAGAAAATTCAACTTAATAGAACAAAAATGCATGAAAAGCATCTCATATTCAGACAAATCGAGTTCACGTGTAGAGAAAAAGGACAAAAAAAAAAAGCCAAACTATATATATATATATACATATGAAAAACTTACCATTTTAAGACGACCACTTGGGCGTGTGTGTATGTATATGTGCGTGTACATATATATATATATATATAAATACTGAAAAAGTTGTTGTGGGACAAAAAAAAAAAAAAAAAAAAAACAAGAGAGAAATAGGAAATGTCAAAGGAAGCGAACGACAGT